CCCGCGGCCGGCGAGCTCAGCGGGTGCGCCCAGGAGGAGGAGGAGGAGGATGAAGAGGAAGAAGCAGCCGGCGGGTGAGTGTGGGTGGCTGGGGGGGCCGGGGCATGCTGGCCCCAGCACCCACCCTGTGGCCCCCACCCCGCAGGCTGGGGACGGAGGAGTGGTACCCCGGTGAGGATGTCCCCTGTGCCACCGCCGCATCCTCGCCCGCCGCCTCCTCCGGCTGCCGGTCCACCGCCACGCTGACGCCATCGCCCCGCACCACCGAGGACATCCCTCGCCTCCGTGACTTCGATAGCCCCCGCCTGCCCCGGTAGGAGATGGGCCTTGCTTGGTCCGGCTGTGCCATCGCGGTCTGGATGTCCCATCACGGTCCAGATATCCCATTGGGGTCTGGATGTCCCACCATGGTCCAGGTGTCCCATTGCGATCCAACCCTATTGTCACGATCTGACCTTGCCATGCCGTCGTGGTCTGACCGTGGCATTGGGGTCCAGATGTCTCACAGGGGTCCGGATGTCCCATTGGGCTCCAGATGTCCCACCATGGCCCAGATGTCCCTTCGTGATCCATCCATGTTGTCACCATCCATCCCTGCTGTCCGGTTGTGCTCTGGCCGTGCCGTCATGATCCATCGGTGATGTTGCGGGCTGGCCCTGGCGTGACAATCCAGCTGTGCCATCGCGCCGCGGCTGCGCTGTCAGGAGCTGGCTGGGACGATGCCATCCAGCTGTGCTGTCGTGGCCCGGCTCTGCCATGATCCAGCGGCGCCGTCGCAATCCAGCTGTGCCATCGCAATCCTAGCATGCCGCTGCCATGCAGCTGTGGCATCAGGGGCCAGCTGTGCCGTTGCAATCCAGCTGTGCGGTCGCAATCCAGCTGTGCTGCGATACAGCTGTGCGGTTGCAGTCCAGCCGTGTCATCGCAACCCTGCCATGCAGCTGCGATCCAGCTGTGGCCCTGCCATCCAGCTGTGGCCCTGCCACCCCGCTGGGCCGCTGCGCTCACCCAGCTGCCCTTTGCAAGCCCATCCAGCTGTGGCACTGCCATCCAGCTGTGCTGCTTCAGCCCACCCGTGCCGTTGCCATCCAGCTGTGCCACCCTGCTCCGGCACAGCACGGCACGGGGGGGGGGGCCCTGCCGGCACCGCGGCGGCCACCCAACCCCCCACCCTCCTCCCCCCCCCCCC